TTATTTATTTAAATTAAAAATGAAATTTTTAGTCTTGAATTTTGGGATGTTACAAGTTGGTATCAGAGCCTTGGTTTGAGGGATTCGGATACACTCTCGAGTTTGTCTGAACTCAAACTGAGGACTTGGTATGAGAATTTTCAAAAGAAAATCATTTTTACAAAAGAACTATTGGGAAAAAGAAAAGAATTTGAAAAGATAAAAGAACTTTGAAAATAGAAAAAGGGTGTGTGGATGCAATCAACCAAGCTCAAGTAAGTACCCCAAAATACCCATACAAGTTATGTTATGTTATGGTATGCTTATGAGATTTGCATGCTAGTGCAGATTCCTGTGTGTCAAATAGGACAGTTCGATTGGATTATGTGGTTAGTTTTTCCTATTGTCTGAATGTTGCTCGCTTTGTGCTTGGTGGGACTCTTGGTAATGTGAGTTAGCTATTGAATGAATATGCTAAGTCACTTGTGACATGGATTGGATAATCTCAAAGTGATAGATTTAACCTTATTACATAGCTCTTGTATGAGTCCAATTATTCTAGGATGAGTCTTTTACTTGAAGGATTATCTGATCTCTGTTGCATGTGGCTATATTCACGAGATAGGTAGTTGACATTACTGGGAAGGCCTTCAGCAGCTAAGGACAGATTGAGTTGGAGGATACCCTAGTGCAAGCCTAGGATGAGATTAGTGCTGAGAGCATTGTTAGTAGAAGGGACCTGGTGGAGTCAAAGCAGTTCTTGAGGAAAGTACGGATAGATGTGGAAGGTAGTATGGGCCCGTACTACTGAAAGAAGAGGATTCGTACTCGATTCAAGAAGGTCCGAGATGAAACCAGGAAAACTTGTAGTGTCTATATGATCCCTCGATAGTATAATGTGATCTGATGGGTATTATGATATGTTTTCAGCATGGTGACGTTGCATGAGAGACCAGTGGGCGGATTGTAACATCTAAAAATTTACGCCAAATTTAAACTTTTCCAATCATAAATAAAAACCAAATAGTATTTGTTTACAAAGTGTTTTCAAATCATTATTCATCAGAGTGTCCGAAAACCTAGATCAAAAGGATGAGGAGCGGTACGGTCACGCCTTCGCCTTGCCATGATCTCCTGAAGTACCTGAAACAATAAACTGAAAACTGTAAGCCCGAGGGCTTAGTGAGCTACCCCCAAAATACTAATACCACACTGATAATACCATGTTAGTAACAGACAATCAATAACATGCATACTGAGCCATCGGCCTAACTGGACCGCCCTACAGGGCCTATAGTCTATCTGATCCTATCCCAAGCCTTCAGCATGACTGGTCCACCACGTGGGCCTGCAGTCTCCCCGGACCACTCATAGGGTATGTTGGCCTTCAGCACAAAGCAGGATCGCCTCAACCCAACCAAAAAGCAAATAACCATGTGCACATAACTATCATATATTGGCGTATACAAACATCAAACATATCTATCTCACTGATCATCAATCATAGAATCGCTCGTAACTAGAGCACCGACCTAGCAGTTTACTAACATACCAATCCCTATTTTCTATTTTAGTATATTTTTAAAAATATTTACAATATTAACAGTTTTTTCATTTTCCTTACTTTTTAGTTTTTTTAAATGTTTTTTTTATTTCAAATATCTCATTTTTCTATTTTATTTCACCTTTTTGTTACTTTCTTATTTTTTTTAAATAAAAGTTTCTATTTAAGTTTTTTTTACCCTTTCTTAGTGTTTTTTTTTTTTTAATTACAGATTTTTTTTTAATTTTTAATTTTTGCTTTTTTATTTTAAATATTCGTTTTTCTTATACAAATCTTTGACTATCAATTTTAATAATCATAAATTAAACATACAATATATTTTTCTCGTGTTGCAGCCTTATTGTTCAAGGTACTGTAGTTTGCTTAGTTTGGATGCTTCTTGTGCACACCAACAATGTGTTGTGTGCCATTTCCTTCCTTTCATTGTTAAATATTGCTTCATAATTTTAGCTTCATCTCGATGCTTGTTCTTTTGTATGGCTTCTTCTTCTACAAGTTCGAGTGATATTTGTTTGTGCCCGTTCAGAAGCTTCCATTGTTGCCCAAATGGTGAAGTGGGAAGTAAGGGGATTGGCCGTATGATTTCACACATCAAAAGACATCATCTACCTACTGAAGATCATAAATGGGTTTTATGTGAAGCTCTTTCTAGTGATGTTGGTTTATTTATGGTAGTGGAAGAAACTTTGAAGGCCTTTGGTCAATGGATGTGTGCGAAGTGTATGACTTTGCATGCTCTTAGTTGTTATTGTCATCACCAGATGGTCGTGCGAGGTTTGTTACAGGGGCAAACGACTCGAGTCGTTACATTGTCGGTATTCTAAAGTCGTCTACTAAAGAGTCAATGATAAATGCTCTTGGAGGTTTGGTTTTTGATGTTGGGCTCCTTGATCATGTTTTTAAAGAGCATATCACTACTGTCAAGAGTATCCCCCATAATTGTCACCTTGCTTTCTCTCAGGCTTTGAAAACTGCTCTTTACAAGGTGATTGTCCAACCTGGCTCGGTTGAGGCATGGGTTTGTTTGTTACTCTTTCTCGCTGCACACTGCAGGTGTTTAAACCCAAAAATAGACAATAATGCAGGTCTGGGAATAGAAAATCCTTACAACAAAGCTCCATTCTGAGGTCCTTGGATACATGGGGGAAAAAGGATGGTATCAAGAAGTTAGTTCAAAATACGTTAGACAATCCCAAGGTTTGGGCCATTAGATAGGGTGGGGGCATCCTTTAGAAAGAGTCTACATCAAGTAACACCAACATCAGACAGTGTCTCCGTAAGTTTGCCGATGGTCATTTTACCACAACAGTGAAATTGTTATGCTCATCAGGTGTTGCGTCGTATAATAGTGATCAGTGTTGCAAAACTCCGCCTACTCGGCCGAGTACTCGGCCGATTACTCGGAATCGGCCCTCCACCGAGGCGAGTAATGTCAACTCGGCCAAAAAACTCGGAATTAGTCAAAATCGGCCAAAATCGGTCAAACTCGGTCAAAAATCGAAGAAACTCGGTCAAACTCGGGCCTACTCGGTCTTACTCGGGTCTACTCGGTCAAACTCGGCCAACTCGGTCAAAATCGGTCAAACTCGGTCAAAGGGTCAAAATTGTCATAAAAAGAGAAAAAAATCAAGAATTTCAAGATTAATATGTATAATGCACTTAATGATTTATTATTTAACACAAACATGTGATTATTACTACATATATATCTTAAATTTTCAGTAATTATCCACATAGTGAAACAATTATGAATTACCGAATCCGAGTACTCCCCGAGTACTCGCTACTCCCCAGTCGGCCGAGCAGGTACCGAGTAGCGAGTTCCAAAACCTTGATAGTGATAATAAAGTTGCATGATTATTAATAACCACCCCGCCCAAAGATAAGATATCTAGAAAAGATCTCGGACGTTTGGAATTAGTGTGATAAATGAAGACTTACATCCTTTAAGAATGCACATAGTAGAGTGGATTGGAATTTGGAAGTGAAATACAAATTTGATAACATCATAGCTAATTCTATTTCTATAAGTCTTGATTAATTTGAATTTAAAACTACTCCAGTTCGAAGCATTTTCCACTAATAATGTGGCTCGCACCCACACCCATTATGGGATATTTCATTGATGTTTTGCCTCCAATAATTATGCCATAAAAAAACTTAGAATTTTAGTCTCCTTCAGCAACCCATTTCATCTTAGCATTTTGCTAGAGATCACGTACTTTAGCCTCATCAAAATGAAAAGAATTTTTTGGGTTTTAATAAGATCAAAACATTCATCAAGTTGACAGGCCTTATCTCCCACCACAAGGCAAGCACATTTTTCCATATCAATTATGTACTTTTTCATCCTTCCTAACTTTTGCACTTTTTCCCCAATTTTTAATTGCATTTTACATCACTTTTAGCTTCATTAAGAGCATTTCCTCATGAAATTGATTATTGTCCCTCACAAAAAATAGATGAAACATCACCGGTCCACAACCATGAGTTGGAGGTGAGAGCCAAAAGCAATTGTCCGAGTATCTTGTTGTGTCACTAAAACATGTGCCTTTACGCCTAAGATCAATGAATTATCCCGTGGATATAAGAGCATATACATGGATAAACAAGAAATGGTCAAATATTTGATGACTTTGTTAAGTAGTGTATATGTCATTAGACTTGAACCAACACCAATTAGATGAAAAGGAAACAAGAAACCCTTTGATACTCAAATCATCTTAGCCACCAAGTAATCATATTGACTGAGTTATAACTTGTAACAAAAGATTCACTCATTTATATGATTCGATGAATACAATAAGTGTGATTTTTAGCTTCCTTAGAATAATGATTTGCAATAAGTGAGAGCCTTTACTCTCAAGTCAAGGGTTAGCTACTCTAAAAATAAAGGGTTTGCTATAACTAAAATGCCAAAAGTTGGTTAATTTGAAGATAAGAGACCAAAGCACATAATTGTCACTTTGCATAATCACAAAACCATAAAAGCTTTTACATCATGTATAACTACAATATAGGTGAATACTACAATACTAACACACCCCCTTCCATTGAATATATTATCATTCGTGAAGCTTAGCGTCTGCAAAAGAAAACGTTTTATGCATCAAAGTAACCATTTCCATATGCAAAAATATAAACCAAATGGTTTGTTTACATTTGTACCGAATGATATACGAATAAACTAATTACGTAAGATAGAGAAGTAGACAAAAAAAATGATAACATGAAAAAGATTAAAAGATCTGCTTGAACGAGATTTTATCTTCAATTTTTTGTCAAGTAAAAATAACATAAGGAAAAGAGATTTGCTTTACAATATGTCTCAAATTCAACAGCTTTGAAGTGGAAGTGGTTTTTTCTACTTTACAAGTTACAAGCATGTCCCCTCATCTTGTCTTGCCTGCTCCACAACTAATCTTTTATTAGCGCCACATATTGCAATCTGATCTGGCTATAATAAACCACTACAATCTGATTGATCATGTAAAAGTAGTGTTTCCATGTATGAACTAACAAATGATGAAACATTTTCTACATGAATCCCAATATCTTTGATGTGTTCTGAGTTAGGTTCATAGACAACAAGTGAAGCTGGTTCTTCGTAATCCTCCCCTTGTACTTCAATCATGGGTTCACCACTATTTGTAAATCCCAAAATCGTTATCGATTCATATCGTGTGTTAATGGTAAATAGCTTTGTAAAGGAATGCAGAACATCATTATCCATAATCCATACATCAAAAACTTCAAGCACAACAAGAGAATCCCATAGCTTAGAGATGAAAAATGTAGCATATGCTAGACTATCCGGTAGGTCTATGACTCTAAATTCTTCGGTAGTCATATCAAATGAAATAATCACATGTTTTTGCATCTGAAAATCATTATCAAAAGCAACCCAATAAATATAACTATGTATAGCTACCTCAGACAATATAACCTCAATTGATTTCTTAGGCAGATTGCTACAAGGAGTTCTCCAACTACCTCTGCTCAATTTAAAAACCTCAAACATGGGAGAGCTAACTTCCGTACCAACATTTGTAATCTTCACAATCGTAGGATCATTAGTGATAGGACAAACCCCAAAACCAACAACAATTTCCGAACAACCTGAAAAACCTGGGACAGGTATTAAGACTGATTTTCTAATCGAAGGATTCAAAAGAACAATCAACTTTGTGGCAACTTTATAACGAGGATGGTCTGGATCTTTATAAAAACCAGACAAACACAACAATCCTTGAGAGCTCCCGAGAAATTCCAATCTAGATAAATGTTCAGAGAGCACAGGAAAAGTCGGAGCAAGCTCTTGTTGGGTGAAAGCGTCATCATCGACAAACGAAACGTACTTTTGCTTCAAGTCTACTGGATCTTTGTACCATACAAGCAGACGTTGTGGATGAGTTTGGCGGAATCTGTAGCCAGCAATAAACTCGGAGCTGTCGATCAAAGACTTCCATTGTTTTGAGACGGATCTAAATTGAAGTAATGACTTCACAGGTAGTCTTTTGATGATGTCCACTTGGATTTCAAAAGGTATGTATTCTGACATTTTTTATTTTGGGAGGTAGGTGGTTATATGACAGGGCTAATGAACACACAAAATTGCAAAAATGTTTCTATGCAATTTTTTAGAGTAAATTACACGAATGGTCCCTATGGTTTGTGGTAATTTGCGTGTTTGGTCCCTAACTTGTTTTTTTAACTCGGAAGGTTCCTATGGTTTGTTTTTGTTACGCATTTGGTCCCTACTATTTATTTTTGTTACGCGTTTGGTCCTTATCTTATCTAAAAATACTATTATTTAAAGAGGAAAAAATGATGGGGTGGGTGAGGTAAGGTGAGGGGTGGGATTAGGGGTGTGTTTATTTAAATAAATTAAAAAAATAAAGGGCATAATAGTCTTTTTAGATAAGATAGGGACCAAGCGCGTAACAAAAACAAACAGTAGGGACCTTCCGAGTTAAAAAAATAAGTTAGGGACCAAACGCGCAAATTACCCTAAACCATAGGGATCATTCGTGTAATTTACTCCAATTTTTTAGGTTTTAGTTAGTTTGCTTGTAATTTTGGTCCTTCAATAAATTGAAAATACTAAATTGCCCTTATTATATTTATTTTCCACTTTTTTTTACTATAAATATTTATATATAAGAAAAAAAATAGGGGCCCTCTCTCTCTCTCTCTCTCTCTCTCTCTCTCTCTCCCCCTTGAATTGTCTTGCTGCCATTAAAGAGTAAAAAATTCTTTCTCCTTCCTCTATTTTTCCTGTCAATCAAAATAATCATCCAAAGACCCCAAATTCGGTGTTGTTGTTCAACATCCTTCTCCGATCTACAGAGGACTAAAGTCCTTCCTCCTCCTACATGTGTTGTTCTTGATTGGGCCAAAAAAGAAAGAAGTTGCCAGAGCAACCCTTCGATGTCAGCTCGCCTCCTAGTGAGTTGCTAAACCACCACCGGACCACTCCTATTTTTTATTAAATTTGTGCTTCTCCTTTCACGATCAGACGAGGATCAAAGATCCTCCCCCGATTTCTACCTTCGTTCTTCTTCACAATCGGTCAAAGATCGGAGACCATTTCCCTTCGATGCCACAGTCGTCTACAACGGCTTTCTTCAGGCTCTTCCTCTCCTCGCGATTTCCCAGCCACCACCGGAGGTGCTTCGTATTTGTGTTCTTTTTCTTTCCCTTCCCAATCTGTTGAAAACGATGATCGATTCTCCAAAACGAGGATGTTGCAAGATCTGGGAGGTTAAATAGAGTGGATTCTTTCAGATGAGCTAAGCTGATGTCGAAGAAAGCTAAGCAGATAAGGATTTGTAGATTGGGGAGGAGGAATAGTAATGGTGATGATGTTCTTCCCAAAATGATAAACATAGTCAAAATGGATGGTGGTGGTGAACGGTGATGGTGAAGATAAGGGATGGAGACTGTTTATAAATCTTGATTGCGTTTTCTACATGTAGGAATTGAGCATTTTTATGGGAGAAATTAGATTTTTTGGAATGAGAGAATATGGTGAAAGGGGGAAGAAGATGAAGAACAAAGTTGTATGTGTTTTTGGTTGTAATCCATCGAGAGAGAGAGAGAGAGAGAGAGAGAGAGAGAGAGGTGGGCCCCAAATTAGATAATTATTTTATTTTTCATTTAAATTAAGTAGAAAAGGCATAAAAATATATATCAGAAGGGCATAATAGTCTTTTCAGTTTACTGAAGGACTAAAAACGCAAAGAAACTAGGTTAAAAGGACCATCAATCCAAAAAAAATGTCGTGGTTTGGACTAAAACCCCAAAAATTTGCATACCACATGGACCATTTTTGCAGTTTTGTCTAATGAATATTGGGTATGGTCTCGTACCCACATAACCAATTAACCATGTTATATTATACTTAGAATAAATGAAGTTTAGTCCGTGTGGTTTGCAATTTAATATATAGGGAGTAATAAAGTTTTAAGTTTGTCCACGTTAGTTCCTCAATGTTTTATTTTTATTTTATATTACACTAATATGCTTTGTTATAACCATTTAAAAAAGGTAGTAAGGTTTTAATTTTGTCAACATTAGGTTCTTAAAGTCCTTTTTTACATATTACACCAACATGGTTGCTATAACCGTTTAAAGTGGGATAATAAGGCTTAATTTTGTCCACATTACGTCTCTATTTTTAATATTTGTATCATTTCAACTAACTCATTTACAATTTATATTAGTATCTAGTTAGATGGCTTCATTATTTCATTTTCTCATGTTAGTCGCACATTCACCACAACCACGGTTTCATTTGAAATGTTACATAACAACTTTTTGTCATTTTTGAAAAAAAAACTAATAGTAATTAAAGTCTTAATGATTAAGGTTATGTTTGGCACGCCATAACTAGCTGATAAGGTAGTTTATTTTTTCGATCTTTTTTAAGTTGTCATGTTTGGCAAGCCAAAAAATTACTTGTAAGCTATCGTTTTAAAAAGCTACTTAGAATAATTTGTTAAAAAAAAATTTAATTTCCAAATATACCTCTTAATTAATTAAGAAATAATACATTAATTAGAATAATAGAAATTTTAATGTATTCGTTTTTTTTAAACATATTTTTTAAAAGTCATTTTATATCAATATATAAATTTCATATAGCTTATAAGCCAGTGAGGGTCAAAGTAAAAGAGTATCCCCGAAAATAATAGCGTATCCTTGATAAGTAATGGCTCCACCAATAGGGTATCCCCGATACGCCATTACTAATCAGAGATATCTCATTACTTGTCGGGATACTCTTTTACTTTGACTTTGTCTGTGTCGTTGGCTTATAACTATCTGAAAATTGTATAATGACATAAATAGACATTTGAAAAATATGTTTTATAAATTAATTAAGGGGTATATTTCGAAATAAAAAAACTTAAAAAAAAAAAAAAAACTAGTCTAAATAGCTTTTTAAAACGCTAGCTTATAATCTACTTTTTTGTTTGCCAAACATGACAACTTAAAAAATCGAAAAATAAACTAGTTTATCAGCTAGCTGTGGTGCGCCAAACATAGCTTTAATCATTAAGACTTTGATTATTAATATTTTTTTTTGTAAAAATGACAAAAAAAAAAAAAAATTGTTATTTAACATTTCAATTGAAATCATAGTTGTGATGAATGTGTGACTAAAATGTGAAGATAAAATAATAAAGTTGTAACGTCCCAAAATTCAATACGAAAAAATTCTTTTAACAAATCATTACTTAAAGCAAAATCATCAATTTGAAACATAATCAGAGTGTTAATTTCCAAAACACACGTTCGTTATCAGAGTAAACATTCTCAGGCTGTCTAATCTATGGTGTGTGCCATGCGATCACCCCGAGTTTTTCCCTCCGCTACCGAAAGTACCTGAAACCAAAACTGAAAACCGTAAGCACGAAGCTTAGTGAGTTCCCCACCCTACCACATACCATGCATAACCACATACTTCACATACTGGGCCACGCCCGCTATCTTGGGCCTCGCCCCTAGCTCGGGCCACGCCCGATACAACGGCCCCGCCGCTTCAGGCCACGCCTAGCTTCGAGCCCCGCTCGGATACACCCATGTTTGAAATTCAATTCATGTCATACAAAAATCCCAAGATCTCATAACATAAAATCTCGTGTGTGTGTGTGTGTACTGATCAAGTCGGTGCCTTCCCACGGTCGTCACTAGTACCTGAAACAAATAACACCAAACACTGTAAGCACAAAGCTTAGTGAGTTTCCCCAAAATACCACATATAACACATATTAGCCACTCGAGGCTATAACTTTGTGGGTCCGTGCACCCAAACTTTGTGAACCCTCAGGATCTAACTCTGTAAACATGCACATCATAAATCACATAGAATAATGCAGTGCAACACATAACACATATATAGCATACAAACACTGTATCACATGCTCTAGTTACCTACTCAAGGTAAAGTATAGTGAGAAGACTCACCTCATGTATCTCGATAACTCACAAATCCCTGGAATCACTCATGCTCGATCCCCCGAACTATAATCTTCCTATAATACAATATATCTCTAATTAAGAATTTTACAATTAAGGTTAACTAACCCTATCAAGTTAACACCGGTCAACTCTGGTCAATGGTCAACTTTGACTGGACTCGGCGAGTGCACCAAAGCGACTCGGCAAGTCTATACGCGTTCACTGACTCCCTCGGATCCTTTCTTGGCACGTCGAGCACTCCCCTAACTCGACGAGTTCCAGCTAGCATGAATCGCAGGGCAACCACGACTCAACTCGTCGAGTCTCAAGAACAATCTGGCGAGTTCCGGCTTGACTCAACCCCATATTGACTCTCCCTGACTCACTGGGTTATCCTCCAACCCGGCGAGTCCACTCGCTGAACACTTTACGTGAAACCCCAACCCTACTCACCGAGTACCAAGAACAACTCGGCGAGTTCATGCCATGCACAAACTTTATTGACCTTCTAAGGTTAGATCTGCTTTCCCAAACCATAGATCTGGCCTTCCCAAGCATGAATGTTACGTAAAGTTCGAAACTTGATGCTTGTATAACCCCCACAAGGCATCAAAAGGAGATTTGGTCCCAAAAATAACCACCTAGGTCCAATGACTCCATAATAACCCAAAAAGCTCCAATGGTTAAGGTCTCTGGACCTCTTTGAGTCCAGATCTAAGGCACAAACTCGAAGAGGGACCATTTGCTTCACATAATCACTCTCCAAAAGGGTTATAAAACCATAACTCTAAAGATCAACCCTATAACTGAAAGAGATTCGAACCATTACCTCAAAATGAAGCCTGTGGACTCTGGATTTGCTGGAATCTCACCTCCTCCTTGATCTTGCTACCTTCCTCTTGCTAAACAAAGAATACAAAGGCCCAAAAGTGACTTCCTCTCTCCCAAAACGAATTAGCTCTCTTAGGGTTCTCTCAAGGGACTGGTAGCCGCAATAGGAGGCTATAAGTGCACTTAAATAGGCTCCAAACCCGGAGAATTAGGGTTTCATTAAACAGCATGGACTCGCTGAGTCCACTCCTTGGACTCGCCGAG